TGTGTGTGTGTTGCCCTTTGGCTGCTGCTGGCCAATCCTGGGCAGGCGCTGGCTGCCTTCCTGCTGTTTTGGCCTCCACTTGTCGCACTTTACATGCATGAAAATTAAGTGCTTGTCACATTTGCGGTTGACAACGTTTAATTTTCAGTTTATTTTTATGCTTTCCCAAATAACATGCCAAGTAATATACATGCATATATGTACATTTACATAAACGAGTATTGCTGCCCTTTGGGCGGGGTGCTAGTTGGCGGGGGGGGGGCGTGGCCAGTCGCACATGCAAATGTGGCTGACACAAACAAGAAACAAGTAAGCAACCAAAAACAACAACAAGAAAAAACAAGCCAGCGAAAACAAAAATTTCAAATAATTAAATCATTTACCAAAAACAGCAACAGAAGCGACAACGACGACAGCAACAACAACAGCGAAAAGAACAACAACAGCAACAACAACAGAAATAGAAATCAAAACGGAATATAAAATGTGTAATAAAGTGTAATAATAAAAAACAATTGTAAGCGGAAGTAGCAGCGACGCATTCAGCTGTGACGTCGACTGAGCTTTGGCTTATATCAGCAGCAGCAGCAGCAATAACAGCAACAGCAACAGCAGCAGCAGCAGCGGAAGAAGGCGGCACCCCTTGCCCGCCCCTCCACGCGTTGGCTGCGACAACGAAGACGTGGAGGCATCATAAAGAAAGACAAACGACGACCGTCGGCCGTGGAGTGTAATGTAAATTACGAGCAGAGGCAAACAGCAACAATAAAAAAGTCGCATTGTAATAGCTGTTGCTGCTGTTGTTGTTGTTGTTGTTGCTGTTGTTGTTGCTGTTGTTGCTGTTGTTGCTGTTGCAGCTATGAGCATCAAATGAGGCAGCCAACCGCTGCACCTGTGGGCCAGTTGCGGCAGCGATCGGCGGCGATTAGGCGGCCGCTGCCCCAAACTGTTTACTGCTTCCGCTAGCCGCTGTCAAGAGCAGCAGCAACAGCAACAGCAACAACAACAGCAGCAACAACAACAACAACAACAGCAATGACCACAAAAGCGTAACATGCGCTGCCGCAATCAAATCGCCGCCAGCCACCTGCCCCTGCCCCTGCACCAGCACCTGTTCCTGCCCAATTACCATTCCCATTGCGACTTCTGTTGGATTCTCTATGCCTGCCTCTGCTCTCCCTTTCACTCCCGAACTGCCCCCGTTGCGACGTTCGTCGACACTTTGACGCATCGCTGCGCTTAGGCGGGCGGCGCTGATGACTCAGAGTGCGGCACAAGCCGCCCGCGAGCCACCCTGTGGCGGCATTTCATGCTCAAATAACTGGCTGGCCACGACTCAGTGAGTGAGGGGGAGCGGGGTACAGGGGAAGAGCGCTTGAAACGCTACGCTGCGCATGGCCAGCGCAACGTTGGGGGTTCGCTTGGAGCCCGTTAACGGGGCTTCTAAACAACAGCAGCAGCAACCACTTTGCGTTTTGGTCAGCTTTAGACGCTGGGGTCAGCTCAGGTTGGCCTCGGGTCAGCGGCGTCTGCAGTCGCCTTATCTAAATCGGGCCACCCGACCTCTCTTGCACTCTTCGCGCAGACAAGCGCAGGCAAGGAAATACCCTGTAAACAGCACCAAGCTGCAGTTGCTCTAATTCCCCGTATATGGAGAATAGATATGTAATATATTTGTAGCAATAGGAGTGACCCAGTCAAGAGTGACCGACTTAGAAATACCCTGTATCCAGCAACTTGCTGCAGTTGCAATAATTGGAATTGCCCTCTATGGAGAGAATATATATCTAAACATCTACATATATATTCGCAACAATAAGAGCTAAGAGTGCTCTAATTGGGAGTGACCGACTAAGAAATACCCTATACCTAAAACTTTAGGCTATATCTCTGAAAACGCGTTTTTATCGAAAATGATAAGTTCTGGATGGTGTATCAACTAGAGTTTGCATCCAAAATGAGATCCCACATCCAAAAATCAAAGTGAAGAATCGATTCTTATCGATTTTTCAATAAAAAGCTAACGATTATGTGAAATAAACTTGGTCTGCGCGTTCAATATCAGGATCTACTTTCCAAATTTCAAGTACCTACCTCTTGCGGTCTCACAGATTGACTCGATTATTGATACTGAACGGGAATATAGAATATAGTAGATGCCTTTTTCCACCTGTTACATAGATTGGCATGAAATCGTAATACCCTGTTTTAGCCAGTTTCAATGTGGCCAGGTTCTAAGAAGATAATAATCGGAAAAAAACAATAACAATCTTCCAGGCAAAGTTAGAATCGTATTTAACATCAAATCTGGCAGCTGTGGGGTATATTTGCGTGAAAGAATATGAAACAAATTGTTATTATTTCAACAAATTACTTTGAAAATATTCTGTCCGTCGGGAATTTACCATTTACCGCACATTTGTGCGCCCAACCTCTGCGCATTGACAATAAAATCGGCCAGCAATAAAATCGTTTTGTTTGGTTTCCTTTTTTTTTTTTTTTTTGTAGCCTCTGGAAACCGAATATTACACAATTCTTCTAGATGGTGTCTGCAGCTGGAATCGCAGTGGTGAGTGTTCGTTGAATAAAACTCAAGAAGCAGCAAGAAAATCAAAAGCACAAGCGAAAACGTTGGCGATTGGAAGTAATACAAAACGGAAGCTGAGGTCACTTTCATTGGGTCCCAAGCACGTACTTTGCATTTTTGGTGCCGCCACAAAATAGCCTCAGAGTCCAGAGTTCGTAGAATGTAGATCTAGTTAGAATGGCAATCACAATTCCGTAATGCCAATGAGCCCTGCGCTTGATTAAAGCCTGCAAGAGCCGCCGCCTTTTGCCTAAAACAATTTCACAATTTCAGCGGGATGTACGTGACGAGGAGTGGTGGGTTGGGGAATGGAGGGGATGGGGTACGAGCTAGGCAATTGAGAGCCTCACGATTCATTTTCACAGTGAATGCGAGCGCGACTCTGAGTGCGAGTGTGTTGAGTGCTTGATTTGATTTGCGTGCCGTTCGTAACACTTTCTAATGCCTGTAATGAGTTTGGAGGTACCAGGCCGGACGCCTGGCTAGCCGGTTAACCATTTGATCTGCGTATTCTGTATCGGATGTCAACAATTTTTGGTCATTCCCATGGGCGAGTGCGAGTGCCAAATGTTAAATATCATTTGGTTAATGCTGTTGGAATAGGGGCGGAAATGATCAGGGCGCACGCACAGGCAGTCTGTACAGTTCGGGATAGCCAGAGTTGATAACGCCAATGACATCATCATTATCATCATCATTCGCCAGCCCCATCATCATCAATATAAATATTAACATTTGTTGTTTGCCAAATGCTCAACTTGTCGCGACTTTCGGCTGATAAGCCCAATGTGAAGGTCAATTGGTTCAATGGGCCGTAAAAACTCTTCATCTTGCGTTTTAGGTTAACAAAAATTAAGAAAAAACACATGTGCATTAAGTGAGCACAGCAATTGTTAAATCAACTAGAAAATCCCACAAGTAGTTGAAAGAAGAACTTAATTAAAGTCGATTTCTTTTCAAAACAAAAGTTTCGACTCTACACAAGTTTTATGAACTTAAAGAAGAGAATATATTAAATATATGCATAGATAAAGTCCTTTTTGGAATATGCTAGTGCATTTCCAGTCTTAAGTCAAGTAGATCTTACTTAGTTTCAGCAATACTTAAGAACAGTCGAACAGCAGTTATTATACGATTATTATTTCAAAGCTTAAGAACTTAAGAACTCCCATGACAAAATTTTTTTGATTTACTGATAAAGCGAAAAAACTTGTTAAAGCAAAAAGAAAATGTTATGAGATTAAGAAAATTGTTCATTGTGCGATATATCCCCAAAAGGAGTTTCTACCAATTTCCGGCTAAAAGAACAGAGGTAGCCGAACAAATAAAATATACGGGATAAATGTATCAGCGAAAAGGTACATTCAAAACTAAATAGCTCCAGAAATGGTCGAGAATCGAAGCTTAAACTCGATACTTATCGATTTCGAGAGCAACGGCAAAAGCAGGATCTACGTTCCAAATTTCGAGTACCAACCTCTTGCGATCTCCCTGATTGTCTTTGCTATCGTTACTGAACAGGAATATAGAATAGAATAGAATAGAATAGAATAGAATAGAATAGAATATAATAGAAAAGAATAGAATGGAATAGAATAGAATAGAAAAGAATGGAATTCATTATGTAAGGGCGAACATTGTTCATTTGCTTAAATATATTTTCTATATTTTGACAAAATCATAAGAAATTTGGTTGCTTTGTTGAGTGTTAGATGCGATATAGAAGCATTTGTCATGTTTAAAGATAGAAAGTGTTTCTCGACACAACAAATAATTGTTTTATGGCATTATTATTCTGGTAATATCCAATCCCCAATCAACAGACGCTTCTTCCATGCGGATTTCATTGCGCTTGAAAGCGAAACCAGCCGCAGATGCGGCTACGACGTGTTTGCACACAACACACTCACACACACACACACACACACACACACACACACACAGAGAGAGAGAGAGAGATATGCGCATCCGCAATCGCATCCGCGCAACGGCTGCAGGCGCCGCATCGCGCCTGCAATTAGAGAAAAGTCAAAGGTCCTTTATTCGTCCAGCGCGCAGATGGTTCGCTTACGCTGGGTTAGGCCCAGGGACAGCTCATGGGCTCATCATGCGCGAAGGATATGCCCAATTGTTTGTAGCTGAATGCTAGCCAAATGAACTGTAAACAACAAACAGCAACAGCAGCGGATAATCAGCTGTCTTCTGCTGCTGCTGCTGCTGCTCCGCCCCCCCGCGCTTAACCCAGCCTCCTTCAATTAACAGCAAAATTTAATTGAATTTGCATTTAAAACATGTTTTCGGTCTGCAAACAGCATAAAGGAAAATACACCCAAAAAAAAAAAAAGTATATGCATACATATATAAAATATTATATTTATAATAAAGACACGAAACGAGAGGAAAAAAAACTTACATTTTACTGCTTTATGTCCCGGGCGCAAGAAGAAGACGACAATGAAGAGAGTGAAGACGGCAAATGTTGCGCATGCGTGTTGTTGTTGTTGTTGTCAACACTGATTGCAGCTGTTGTTGTTGTTTTTGGGTTTTCGGGTTTTTATCTCCCGTTCGCTGGTTTGACGCGTTGTTTTTGTATTTTTGTATTTTGGGTTAATACCAAATTATTGTAAAATAAATTAGCAAACAAATAAATATTAAACGCGAATTCGTTTTTTTATCGCTCTTTAGCGCTTTTGTTAGTTGCTGATTGTTCGTTTTTGTTTTGTTGTTGTTGTTGTTGTTGTTGTTGCTCTCAGAACCACGCTCTACATATTGATTATCGTTGTCTTGTTGTTGTTGTTGTTGTTGCTGTGGACTTGGGCAGTTTGGCTTTTGATTTAGTATTTTATCTAAATTTTATTAAGTTGCTTAAAGTTTTCTTGTCGCTTGCTGCCTTTCATTTTTTCGTAGTCGCAGTTGTTGTTGTTGCTCCTGTTGTTGTTGTTGTTGTTGGCATAATGACAGCTGTTTGTTGTTGCTGCTATTGTATTGAGAGTGCCTCACATGGCACCACACACGCACATGCATATACACACACACACACATATATGTATGTACCTATGGCGTGCATATATGCATAGATAAATCCGTTCACAAAGAAAGATTCGCACACAAAAAAAAAGTAATAAATAAATTTAACGTCACAATTTACACTGGCAACAACAAAAACGAAATAGTGTAATAAACGAAGCAGAAAACGCACGCACAGTGTTACAAAAACTGTAAAAATTGTAAGAAAAAAAAATAGAATAAAATAAAATTAATATTTAAGCATAATATATTGTAAATTGGCGTTTCTTTTAGAAAATGTGCAACTTAATAAATCGTTTTTTTTTTGTTTTGCAAAAACACACAGAAACCAAACACACACACACACACACATACATATGCACTTTGTTGTGCCAACAACAAAAATGACAAGATTATAATTTCAACACGCTCCCATGCATATGTTTGTATGTATGTATGTAAATATAAATGAATATGTGCATAAATGTATGTACACATACACACACACACACACACATGCACACAGTGCTGAAGATTATAAATTATCGGCGCCTGTTGCTGTTGTAACAATAGGAAACAGCAACAACAAACTGCCGCGTGTTTCACAACACATAAATAAGTATGTGAATATGTGCATATGTATGTATATATCTATGTACATGCATATTTATATATATAAATTAAAAAATTATATATATGTATATTTGTATCGGTCTCTCTATATGAATATTAAGCATTTATTAAGCATTTATTGTGCATTTTATTTTATTTCACTTGGGATTTATTTGAATCGCTTTTTGTTTCCTTTCACACAGATACGCATGGGTTTTATTTGGTTTTTGTTTTGATTTGGGGTTTTGTTGTTGTTGTTGTTGTTGTTGTTGTCTTCTTTTGTCATTTCGGTTACACAGTCCAAATTCAAATCGGAATCGGGTCAAACTAAAAAAACCAAAGCGAACCACAGCACCAAAGAGAAATGCACACGAAGAAACGTTTTTAAAATGCGACACATTTTGCTAGAATTTTTTTTTTTTTTTTGGCGCGCACGAACTTACAAAAAAAAATTATTAAAAAAAAAACTAAAACTCTTCAACGAAAATTGTATTCGAATATAAATTATTTTAATATGCACGTTTCGAGCGATTGCACATAACTGTTAACATAAGTAAGGTACTCGTACATCCCGTACAATTCCACAACCTATGTGTGTGTGTGTGTGTGTGTGTGGATTTTAAATACTCAGAAATGTTGTGGCAAATAGAAAATGTTAGAAAACGGAACAGTACAAAAATAGAAATAGCAATCGAAAATAGAAATTAGAAAAGATAGAAGATCGATCCTATTATAAAGCACTTTTTGTCACTGTTCATTTATTTGATTTCTGTGCGATTCAGTTGCTTAGCTAGTTGAATGGTTTGAACGGGTGGGAGGGGGGTAGCTCGAGATGAGCCCCGTTTAACGATCCCGAGTTGACGTTTAGGCAGAGCTGCTACGCACGCACCGTTACCGTTCACGTTCACAGTTGTTTATGGAATGAGGCTTGAAAATGTGTGCGGGCGTCGTGGCCCCGAGCCACCAGCAGCAGCAGCCGTCAGAGAGAGGGAAAGAGAGAGAGAGAGAGCGCGCGCTGAAGAGCGTCAAACGAACGTGCATAGTGCGGCTACGAGTTGAGTTCACTTGAGTTGTCCAACAGATCTCCCAACTGCAGAGAGAGAGAGAGAGAGAAGCAGCGTGTGTGTGACGGAGAGAGATGTAAAGAGAGCCAGATGACAAAGAGAACGCAACGACTTTGACTGTCTGACTAAATCGCAGTGTCAGAGTCAACTGCTGCATTTGTTGTTGTTGTTGTTGTTGTTGTTGTTGGTATTAATTTCGCTAGTGTTGTAAATAGTATTGTTGCCGGCAATTCAAGTCAAACGTACTTTAAATACCAGGACCCTGATACAAGAGCTGATCTTGAGATAAATGGGTTCCTTCAGCTTTTGAATAGGCTTAGGAATCCATCTTCACATATAGTATTAACATACATACATACAGACTTATGTGCGTGGGCATACACACACATACTCTAGCATGTATGTATTAATGGGCCATGTCTTAAACGCTTCCTTCAATAACAACTACCTTTCTCTCAATACATAGATCATCATATAGGTACAGATCGTGGTATTATCTTATCTTATCTTTTAATCTTAAAATTCAGAATCCTTGGAATTGCAGCTACATTTTGTAGAGAATATAATAATCTTATATAACCTTGTTGTTGTTAATTATATCTTGACCAAGCCCACGAATACCGAGCTTCAATGTTTTCCTGATATATGTATCCGTATCTAATCGAATTGCAAGAGTATTTACCTTCTTGTTTCAACATATGAATGTTCTTAATGAGCTTTCGGATCATCTTTTCACATGACCTCAAATAGGGATTTTCCATATTCCATTTTTAATCTCACGAAGGAACTTTGCTTTTTAAACATATCGTCAACAAATGTAGGGAATGTATTTAGTCGAGATTAGAAATAGAAAATGTATTTTGTATACTTATCGATATACTTAGTTTGAGTTCAATATTTCCATTTCTTGAAATTCGTTTTGGGTTTCTTTTTTTGATTTTTTTGTTTTTAACTGCGCGTGTGTTCGGCTCGGCTATGCGCATTAGCTGGCCACCAAAAATGTTGTAAGTGGCAACTGGGAACTGGAACCGCAACTGGACTCTTGCTGAGTTGCACTCGGATGGGTCTATGTCTATGGAGGGATAGATAGTTGGGCTGCATGATTAATGACAGCTGGAAAATGCATTTCTTTGCTTTGTTTGCAACTAATTGAGAAATTTACATAGAGCGTACAATGGGTGGGAGAGTGTGTGTGTGCGTAGGACTAGGTGTGGGCACGTCAATTCCCAATCAGTTTTCACGTTCAAAAGAAATAAAGTAGACATTTTCCAGAAACATTTTCAAAGAAAATCAATTTCTACTTGTCACCATTTTCAATTTGTCTAGCATTGTCTAGCCCGAATGCGAAGAACCTTGTTGCATTGTTTAAGAACATTTGGCTTGGCATAGGTCAGATCAGTCTGGGCAGGAGAGAAACGGAGCAACTGGGTCACACTAAGCCCCTGCAGCATTTACACTGTTCGGCATCGGAATCAATCAGTGCAAAGCCAACTGAAAATGCGAAATCTCCGCTTAAACACTCAAAAACAGCCAGCTCCCAATAGCCTTGCCAGACTCGACCCATTCCATCTGGCTCAGCCCCTGCCTTCCTTGGATGGAGCTAAGCTCATCCGCTTACATTAAATTTTCACGCAATTCGCACAAAACAAATACAAAAATATTACAACTGACTCGGCTCCGGAACCAGCTCCAGTTTCAGTTCCAGCAACTGGCACTGGGCTCTGGGCTTGGCTTTTCATTTCTGTTGCCATTTGGCCAAGGGTGTGTCCGTGCGGGTGGTGAGGGGGGTGAGGGGCTGAAGCAAGGTGTGAGTTTATTGAAATCCGCAACTTCAACTTGAACATGTTCGTATCCATTATGATAATTACGAGTGCCATGCAGCATGGTTGTTGTTGTTGTTGCCAAATTGTATTTCACGCTACTTTTAATTGGCCGCCTCTTCAATATGCCTCCATCCCCAGCTCACCCCCTTTGAGGAGCTCCAATGGCAGCGGCTGTTGCTGCCGTTTTTTAGGCCCACATAATGGCCAATTATGCCCACTTGGAACTCGCACATTCCGGCCCCCCTCTCTCTCTCTCTCTCTCTCAGCGTGCGTGTGTGTGTTGGAGTTTACTTTTAATGGTCAAGTGTATTTGGGATGGATCTGGGCTCTGCGTTCTGGCACTGGCCTTTCCCAAATATCGACTCCGAGTCCAAAAACAACAGCTTTTTTTTTTTTTTTGCTGGTACTTTTCCTGTGCTTTGTCTTCTTCAGCATCTTCTTGTTGTTTTGTTGGTACTTTAAGTGAAATCAATTAAAAAATTTCTTTGTCTTTCGAATGTTTGACTTCGGTTTCGGTTGTTGTTGTCGTTGCTGTTGTTGTTGTTGCGACGCATCTTCCAAGTGGCATTTGGAATTCAATGGAAATTAATTTCTTTTGTTTCTTGGGTGCTTTTTTTTAGTTGGTTTTCTGGTTTGTCGCTGTCTTGTCGTCTTCTTCTTGCCACTTCTTCATTTTCATTTTCACTTTTATTCAATTTTTGTAAGTTTTTTTTTATGTTCTCGTTTTCACTTTCAGACCAAGTTTTTTGTTGTGTTGGAAACCAATTAATGTGATGTTGACCGTTAATATTTTAATTTCAAGAAAATTCCAAAAAGTAAAAACCATAAGTTAAGAGCTTTGCCCGCTTTCTAGGGCCAATTTAATTGTCTGATCTAATGGCATAACTTCGAAAAGGAAAAGATATACAAAATCCGGGCATGCCAGAATATAAAGATAGGCGATATCAATCGACAGCAATGAGGCCTAAAAAGATTTCACATTCGGCAACCAGATAAATCCTTTTCATTTG